CCGAAGCTGCCACGTAGGATGGGAGAGGGATGCGGTGGATCGGGAATGAACGGCTGGGATCGCAGCAGGACGGCGGTCACATCACATCACAATCACAGCACTCGATTGATCGCCGCAGGCATCCGAATGTGAACACAAGCACAGCACCCAATCAACCGCCACTGACACTCTGCAGAGATAGGTCAGTACCCAGGGGAGCAGTTGTGAGGCATTTTGAGCACCGAGAGCTTAAGCCACCACGTTCCCCTTCTTCCCCTTCTCTCTGTTTCCCACCTTACCAGCACCGAGACTTTAAAGCCCCTCCCATCCGCCCCCCTCACCCCTTGTGGTGAAAGTTGACATCCCTGTTGCCATTGCACGCCTCCCCGTCAACTGTCAATAACACCCTCCCTCTCCCTACCAGCACCAAAACGCTCTCCTGCTCAAACACAAAGAGCAGAATCCCCCCCCTGCTCACCCCCCTTCCCCCCCTCACCCCTTGTGGTGAAAGTTGACGTCCCTGTTGCCATTGAGACTTAAAGCTCCCCTATTCCATCCTTAGCCCCATTCTCCCCCCTCACCCCTTGTGGTGGAAGTTGACGTCCTTGTTGCCATTGCACGCCTCCGCATCAACTAACACTGACACCTCTCTCCGGCTCAAACGACCATCAAGGGGGGATTGCTGAGGCACCATAGACAACCAAAGCCAGCCCCCCCCCCCTCTCCCTCCACGCCCTCTCACCCCTTGTGGTGGAAGTTGACGTCCTTGTTGCCATTGCACGCCTTCGCATCAACTAACACTGACACCTTTTCAGGCTCAAACGACCATCAAGGGGGGATTGCTGAGGCACCATAGACAACCAAAGCCAGCCCCCCCCCCCCTCTCCCTCCACGCCCTCTCACCCCTTGTGGTGGAAGTTGACGTCCTTGTTGCCATTGCACGCCTCCGCATCAACTAACACTGACACCTTTTCAGGCTCAAACGACCACCCAGGGGGGATTGCTGAGGCACCATAGACGACCAAGGCCAGGGCCCCCCTTCCCCCCCAACCCCCTAACCCCTTGTGGTGGAAGTTGACATCCTTATTTCCATTGCACGCCTCCCCATCGACCATCACCGACACCCTCTCTGGCTCAAAAGAGTCCCACAGGAGGTTTGCTGTGGTACCACAAACAACCAACCAACGCCAAGCCCCCCATCCTCACTCACCCCTTGTGGTGGAAGTTGACGTCCTTATTCGCATTGCACACCTCTGAGTCGACCACCACTGACACGCTCTCCGGCTCAAACGACCATCCCGGGGGGCCCCGCACGGCCAGCTCGAACGTTCCCTGTGGTTGGGTGAAACAGGGCACAGTGCGTGATTGTAAGGGGGGAGTTAAGGGGCGTGCTGCAATAGAAGATGCATGGAATCAACCGCCACTGACACTCTCTCCGGCTCAAACGATCCCCCGACTGCCAGCTCAAACATTCCCTGTGGTTGCAAGCGGGGACAGGGCACAGGATGTGGAGCAGGCTAAGGTGAGGGCTGAATCAAATACAGCCAATCAATGGCTCAAACGACCATCCCGGCGGGCGGGCCCTGCACTGCTAGCACCCAACGAATGCTTTTCGGCTTATGGTGACAGCGACCATTTTTTAGTCGACTCAAACGTCATCCAGGCGGGCCCCCCACTGCCAGCTCAACGTGAGTCTTGTTGGGGCAGTGTGGGCTCGGAAGTAAGGAAGCACGATGGGCATGTTTGAACACACCTTGGGCACGTCACCTCCCACCCACCTGGGTGACCGCTAGGATGTAGTAGCCGTTGGGCGCACAGTGCGCTTGCTGCCTTGCCCCATGCCCACCTCGGGAACCTCATCCCAGAAACGTGATCTTGAATAAAGAACGTTCACCCACCTGGGTGTAGACGGGCAGGAAGTAGTAGCCATTTGGCGCACAGAGTGCTTGCTTGTGAGCGTGAGAGTGGTTTTAGAATCAGAAGAGAACCCACCCACCTGGGTATACACCGGCAGGAAGTAGTAGCCGTTTGGCGCACAGAGTGCTTGCTTGTGAGCGTGAGAGTGGTTTTAGAATCAGAAGAGAACCCACCCACCTGGGTATACACCGGCAGGAAGTAGTAGCCGTTTGGCGCACAGAGTGCTTGCTTGTGAGCGTGAGAGTGGTTTTAGAATCAGAAGAGAACCCACCCACCTGGGTATACACCGGCAGGAAGTAGTAGCCGTTTGGCGCACAGAGTGCTTGCTTGTGAGCGTGAGAGTGGTTTTAGAATCAGAAGAGAACCCACCCACCTGGGTATACACCGGCAGGAAGTAGTAGCCGTTTGGCGCACAGAGTGCTTGCTTGTGAGCGTGAGAGTGGTTTTAGAATCAGAAGAGAACCCACCCACCTGGGTATACACCGGCAGGAAGTAGTAGCCGTTTGGCGCACAGAGTGCTTGCTTGTGAGCGTGAGAGTGGTTTTAGAATCAGAAGAGAACCCACCCACCTGGGTATACACCGGCAGGAAGTAGTAGCCGTTTGGCGCACAGAGTGCTTGCTTGTGAGCGTGAGAGTGGTTTTAGAATCAGAAGAGAACCCACCCACCTGGGTATACACCGGCAGGAAGTAGTAGCCGTTTGGCGCACAGAGTGCTTGCTTGTGAGCGTGAGAGTGGTTTTAGAATCAGAAGAGAACCCACCCACCTGGGTATACACCGGCAGGAAGTAGTAGCCGTTTGGCGCACAGAGTGCTTGCTTGTGAGCGTGAGAGTGGTTTTAGAATCAGAAGAGAACCCACCCACCTGGGTATACACCGGCAGGAAGTAGTAGCCGTTTGGCGCACAGAGTGCTTGCTTGTGAGTGTGAGAGTGGTTTTAGAATCAGAAGAGAACCCACCCACCTGGGTATACACCGGCAGGAAGTAGTAGCCGTTTGGCGCACAGAGTGCTTGCTTGTGAGCGTGAGAGTGGTTTTAGAATCAGAAGAGAACCCACCCACCTGGGTATACACCGGCAGGAAGTAGTAGCCGTTTGGCGCACAGTGAGCTTGCTTGTGAGCGTGAGAGTGGTTTTAGAATCAGAAGAGAACCCACCCACCTGGGTATACACCGGCAGGAAGTAGTAGCCGTTTGGCGCACAGTGCGCTTGCTTGTGAGCGTGAGCGTGGTTTTAGAATCAGAAGAGAACCCACCCACCTGGGTATACACCGGCAGGAAGTAGTAGCCGTTTGGCGCACAGTGCGCTTGCTTGTGAGCGTGAGAGTGGTTTTAGAATCAGAAGAGAACCCACCCACCTGGGTATACACCGGCAGGAAGTAGTAGCCGTTTGGCGCACAGTGCGCTTGCTTGTGAGCGTGAGAGTGGTTTTAGAATCAGAAGAGAACCCACCCACCTGGGTATACACCGGCAGGAAGTAGTAGCCGTTTGGCGCACAGTGCGCTTGCTTGTGAGCGTGAGAGTGGTTTTAGAATCAGAAGAGAACCCACCCACCTGGGTATACACCGGCAGGAAGTAGTAGCCGTTTGGCGCACAGTGCGCTTGCTCCTTCACCATGCCCTCCTGCGTGCGCAGCTCCACCTGTTAGCATGGGGAGGGAGGAGAGGAGCAGAGCAGATGGCACCAGGGGAAGAGCCGTGAGTGTGGGAAGGAGAGGCAGGAGGCAAGGCAACACTCCGCTTGCTCCTTCACCATGCCCTCCTGTGTGCGCAGCTCCACCTGTTAGCATGGGGAGGGAGGAGAGGAGCAGATGGCACCAGGGGAAGAGTGGTGAGGGTGGGAAGGAGAGGCAGGAGGCAAGGTAACACTCCGCTTGCTCCTTCACCATGCCCTCCTGTGTGCGCAGCTCCACCTGCGCGGATGAATGTGTGGGGGGTGGGGGCGGGCAGTGGCAGCGGGAGAAGCATTGGAGGTGGGGAGGAGAGACTGGAGGCAAAGCAGCGGCACTCTTGCTCCTTCACCATGCCCTCCTGTGTGCGCAGCTCCACCTGCCGGCATGGGAGGAAGGGGGGATGGGGTAGGGAACACAAATGCGCGCAAATGCAGTGAGATCAGAGCCAAAATGCGCGCATGGGCTCCACAAATGCAGTGAGATCAGAGCCAAAATGCGCGCATGGGCTCCACAAATGCAGTGAGATCAGAGCCAAAATGCGCGTCGAACAACCATGGGTTGAAAACGGGCTTTCAAATTCCGATGCAAAAGCGGTGGTGCAAAAAACAATACCTGCACTATCCTTACGGGGCCTGGAACGTGCCTTCATGCATAGGTGCTCCACCGCATCGCACCGCACCGCACCACATCACTAGCCACACCAATTCAAACCGCACCACACCACACCACACCACACCCCACCATACCACACAGAACCACACTGCACCGCACTGCACAGAACCGTACCACGAGGCGTGAGTAGTCAAGGGAGGCATCCGAGTCTGCACGCAGCGAGGCGAGCTGCCTGCTGGCCTTTCTGAAAGAACAGCACACCCTACCGCACCACACAACACAGAACCACGCCACATCAGACCGCACCTGAAAGCACCGTTCCTCACTACATTGCACCTCGCCATACTGCACTGTACCGCACAGCACCGTACCACGAGGCGTGAGTAGTCGAGGGAGGCATCAGAGTCTCCACGCATGGAGGCGAGCTGCCTGCTGGCCTGGCGACAGTCAGAGGGGGGGCGGGGAGGAAAGAAGGGAAGGAGAGGGACGAGGGGAAAAGAAGGAAGAGTGTGACTCTGGTTTGACTCAGAGTCTGCACGCATGGAGGCGAGCTGCCTGCTGGCCTGGCGATTTGCAGAAAAGGGACGAGGATGGGAGAAGGGGGGAAGGAGAGGGGCGAGGGGAGGGGAGGGGCGAGAGAAGAGGGAAGAGTGTGACTTTGAGAGGCATCAGAGTCTGCACGCATGGAGGCGAGCTGCCTGCTGGCCTGGCGACGGTCAGAGGAGGGGGCGGAGAAGAGGGAAGGGGGGAGACGGGCGATGGGAGAAGGGAGAACGGAGAGGGGAAAGCACATGCGAGTTGCCCTTCTAGCCGATTCCAGGTCACCGCAAGGAGGCGAGCTGCCTGCTGGCCTGGCAACGGTCAGAGCGGGGGCGGGGAGGGATGAGGGAAGAAGGAGGAATGTGACTTTCAGAGGCGTGGGAAATGGGGAGGAATGCGAGCGACATTTCAGTCGACTCAAGCGTCACAGCGATGTGCGCGAAGGGAGAGAAGGGACGGTGCAAGGACGCGAGGGAAATGGGGAAGAACGCGAGCGACATTTCAATTGACTCAAGCATCACAGCGATGTGCGCGAAGTGGGGAGACGCGGCGCGAGGTCATCGCATTCATATCATACGGTACTAACCTTGCCGTGCCGAAAAGACTTCGCTAAACATGCCACGCAGCATAAGATCCGATCGGATCCGCAGAGTGCGTGATCTATCGCATCGGATCCTGATTCGCTTTGTCAGAAGGGGATAATCCTCCCCTTCTTGCTACTAGATTCCTACCAGATCCGCAGAGTGCGTGATCCACTTTGTCACGGAGTGAGAAATGACAATCCACTTACTACGCGCGTTACAAATCGTGGCGCATATTACTCACTTACGAGCATATTATCAGCCTAACTGTTTCTTGAAAACGCTTTACAAAATGACACGTCACTGACGAGCGAATCATAAGCCTACCTGGACGAATCCCCCGCATCCAATCACGTCCGCTGCCACGCCACTCTCCCCCAACTGCCACGTCAGCGCGATGCTGACGACGGCAACGCGGATCCACGCCGGCCAGATCCGTTCCGAAACGGCATCGCGCGACGCGGGACGCATCGCGCGTCGTTCGTTAAACTTGATCCTCGAGCCGGGTATCGCGCGCGCGACTGCGCTCTAGCCTCGGCCTGAGCGTTGGAGACGGCGCGAATTCCGGAGGCTCTGACAATGCCTTCGCCAGAAGCGCTTAGAGAAGCAGGCCTGTCAGGATCTCATATCAGATCAGTAGCTGCTGGTGAAACCAATCACTGGAAGGAGAAGACAGCATCGGGAGAGATTCGGCAACGAGGTTCACTTTCATGAAACTTTACGCTTTAGTGGCCGCAAATCAGCGAATTCACTCTCATGAAAGGACTCTCATAATTACATTTTGTAATTATGGAATAGAGTCCTATTTAAATAATCGGATTCCGTTTCACAACATATTGCCCACGGACGAAACTAGGGTTAGGAAATAAAAACTGTCACATTGTAAATAAGTTATAATTACAACCTAGAAAACTGTCCATTGTAAGCAAGTAATCAGTAAGACCTTCTGGTGTAGTGTGTTTAATTTTATGGAATCACAATCTCTCCACAAGACCAGTGCTGATGACCGATGATACCCTGTTCTGTACAACCTGGCTACGGTGCAGCACTAGGCTGGTTGCCAACACATTTCTGACCCTGCCCGTGCAACATTTAATTCTGTACAGAACAAGCCCTTCCAACCTCACTCCGAGTTGTGGCCCACTGTTGAGGGACAGGCGCTTCGAGGCGTTAACTTATTGGGTTGGCCAAAAGCCACCGCGAGCAAGTGGCGGCCCTACTTCTCTAATAAATTGACATCGTGCTGTGGAACTGTATGCTGCTCACCGATTGGTCGAGGCGATTCACAAAAAAAGATGTTATTGGTGAGGTGGGTAAGGGTCTTGTACGGTGCTGTGAGCTTCGAGCGAGGCCAACTCAGCTTGTCATGGAACATGGGTTGCTATTCGCCAAAAGCGCAAAGTTCGCAACCTGGGATGCTGGATCGGCGAAAGTCGTAACAAGTCTTCGGTTTCGACGACCGTGGTTACCGGCTCCAATTCCGGCTCAACCCGCAACTCGTGCATCCCTTTAGACTTACCGAGTAATCGTCGCCGTTCAACATCCTAATCTGCACGGTCGGTACGGCCTCGATTCTGTGCTAAACCAGCACAGCCTAGAAGACATCCCGTCCTCCTGTCACGATACCTCGATTTCTGCTGCGTCTATGTCACAGTCTGCTCTCTCCCTTCCACCTCGATTGCTTCCCACCATTCCACCCTCACCATCCTTTTGATATTTTCTTACTCATGAGCTTATCTTGGCATACCCAGCAGGTAGATTAGACTTCGAAACTACCATCTGCTCGACTTTCTTACGGATAAAATTTAGCAGCATGTAAAGATACCTGATTACTGCTCAGGCTTTTCAAGTTCTTTTCCACAACTTGAAACTGACTATGGACGTCACCCTTGTTGATTCTCGACCCCGCTCGCACCATTCCCGGGAGACGGGACATCGCGTCGCGCAAATGCACAGTCCCGATGTGTCCGAACAACAGGAACGCGTGTCTCGTGCGGTGTCGCCTGTTCCTCCTCGGCCTGTCAAGCCACGTCATCGACGAAGCCAGTCCGACAGTTTCCAATTCGACCCGACGAATCAGTCTCCAGCATCTGGGACTCGGCTTCAGGCCGTAACTTATAGCCATCAGTCTGGCGCGGGTTCTCGTGTCGGTGGTAGAACCGAAGATATTATTCTAGAAAATGAAGTCGCGGAGGTTCCTACGAGTCACCGCCGGCGGCATTCGGAAGGCATTTGGTCTCCTGATTATTCGCAAGACCAGCAGCATTCTCCGGACGAAATGAAACACGCTCGACAACAATCCCCTGACGCATACCGCCATAACGCGTTCAATACGCAGCCTCGTTCGAGACGACAATATTCGCCACAGAAGTCGCCGCCATATGCGGAGCTTAATCATGGTGCTGGAAAGGAGGTGAGACGCTCTAAGTCAACCAATCAGCAACGGCCGCTAAAAACGCCTTATCCTGGATCCCCTAATTTAAGCGGCGAAACCTCTACCAGTAAAAGCAGCAGCATCGACGGCAACAACAACCGCAGCAGCAGCATCGACGGTTACAACAACCGCAGTAGCGGCATCGATGGTTACAACAACCGCAGTAGCGGCAGTCCCAGCAGGAGCGTAAACAGCGGCGTCAGTCGCGTCGGTGGAGGTGGAAACAGTAACTCTGGCTACAGTGGAGGTAACAGCGACAGCACCTCGGCTGGTTACAATAGTGGCTACGGCAATGTTACGGGTAACAGCATCAGCAACAACGCTACCTACGGCTTATCCGGTAGTAGCAGCTTCGGCGGAACTAGCAGCTCCGGCGGAACTAGCAGCGCGGCTGGTGGGTATGCTTATTCACAATCAAAGAACCCGGTCGAGGGTAGCAAGCCTCCTAAGCCCATGGCGGCTCGTCACCGCCGAATCCGCTCCGAGGAGTTTGTCATCGCCGCGTTTTCCGCTGCCGACGCGAACGACGAGCTCCAAGGCTCCCCTGGAATGAACGCCGCCGCGTATCGCGGCGCGCCAGAAGCGAGTAAAGCCAGCGGCTCGAGAGGCAAGCAGCCCCTACAAGCACATCCCCCGCGTAGTAAACCGCAAGAATGGCCGCTCGCCGCGGGAGCTGGACCAACGGGTCGAAGCAACCGGCCAGCGACGGCTAGCAGTGAGCAGACTGACGGCCCGGCAGGTTGGAGCCCAGTTCCCAAACACGCGATTCCGGAGGGGAACAGGACGAGACGTGAGGGGGAGGGGCCTGGAATCATTGGCGCGCTTAAGCAAGGGCATAGGCGGAGCCAAAGCGGCGGTCCTGGAGGCTTTGTGGGAGGGGGCATAGCAGCAGAGAATCTCCGGCAAGCCAGTCCCCAACAGCGACCGTCAGCCGTTAGCAACTATTCTGACGGTCCGTCAGGAAGGTCGGGCAGCGCACCACGGAACGCCAGCCCCGAGGAGAGGGGCCGGCGCGAAGGGGCGATTGCGGGCGCGGGTGGGGGGGATGCAAGCGGAACGGGCAGAGCAGTAGGGGCGCGGAGCGGCGTGGGAGGGGGGGGGCGGAAGGTTTCCGCCATGGGGAATAGCGAGGGGAGCGGGGGGGAGAGAAGAGGCGGGAGTTACGGGGAGAGGTCGCGGGGTGGCGTAAGAGGCCCTGCTGACGACGAGTACGATGGGGAGGTGGAAGATGTGCGGGGGAGGCGAGTGCGCAGCAGTGGAGGGGGAGAAGGCAGGGGAGAAGGCGGTGAATCAGGCGGGGGAGCAGGCGGGGGGGCGGCCATTTGGGATAGGCGACAGGCTCGAGCCAGCAGTGATAAGGAGCGACAGCAGCAGCAGCAGCAGCAGCAGCCGCTGCAAGGAACCCAGCAGCACTCCCCTCCTCGCCACGACCATCACCAGCAGCAGCAGCAGCAGCAGCAGCAGCAGCAGCAGGCGGCGCAGGCATCGCAGCAGCCGCTGCCACCCCTGGGAATACCCACTGCCAGGCGGAATTCGCGCTCTTATGACGGCGGCCCCTTAGACCTGAGGCGATCTGTCAAGACTCCCCCTAGAAGCCCTGTGCTGCCCTATCTGGGCGGCGCAGGCGCAGCAGGCGGAGCAGCAGGCGGAACAGTAGGCGGAGCAGCAGGGGGGGCAGGGGGACGGGGGGTTTCCCCCTATGGGAGCCCCTTGCACAGCAGGCAAGGGGGGCAAATCTCGTCCCAAGCCGCGCAGAGGGGCGCTCCAGCAGGCGCGGGGGGGTATGCGGGGGGAATGGGGGGAGGGGGACCTGCGCCTTCAGGGGCGAATCCTGTGCGCCCAAGCCCCGGGTGGCTGGCGGGCGCACCTGGGGGTGGCGCAAGCGGGGCAGGGGGAGGGGGGAGGGGGGAGGGGGGAGGGGGAGGGGGAGGGGCAAGTGGCGCAGGGGGAGGCGCGGCAGGGGGGATGCCTATCAAGAAAAAGATGGGACATAGGAGGTCTGCTAGCTGTGAAGCCTGGTTCAATCCAGAGGCGGGCTTTAATCCCCATATGAGCGGCTTTAATTCCCCTGCAAGCGGCTCTAGTCCGCAAACTGCTGGCTCAATTATTCCAGGAAAGGGTTCCCCAGGAGGGGGCATGGGCGGAAGCCCTCCGGGGGGGGGGGGGGGGCCTATGCAGGTCCCCCTCGCGCTGGGGGAATGCGGATGGGGGGAGGGCCCGGGGGAGTGACCAGAGGAGTGGGAGGAGGCGGAGGGGGAGGGGGAGGGGGAGGCGGAAAAGGAGGGGGATCGGAGAAGGAAGAAAGGGAGGTGTATACATCGGGCGGGGGAGGGAGAACAGAGGTTGGGGAAAGCCCTGTTAGAAGGTCAAAAGCAATGCCAATCCAAAGCCCACACAAGCCCAAACCGCACAAGCCCGAAATTGTCCTTCCATCTACCAGCCCCTATAATAGCCCCTATGCTAGCCCCTATGCTAGCCCCTATGCTAGCCCACGCATGGGATCCCCGTTAGTAGGCTCCCCGTTAGTAGGCTCCCCGTTACTAGGCTCTCCCATGCTGTCTCAAGTGGGTTCCCGAACCGGATTTGTTACCCCCGGGGCTATGACGCCTGGCGGGGGAAGTATGGTGGTTAGCCCCGGTACCTTGGCTGCGCAGGAGGATCGGGACCAAGCCAAGCTGGCGGAAATCCAGAGCATGTTCGCCAATTGGAACCACGGAACGCCGATCCCGTCCCCCAAAGCTGGAGCCTCGGCTCGGGCCGAAGCTGGCTTCCCGCTTCGGACGCCCCAGCCTAGCGACTACTACCGAATCGACGGGGGGGAGACAGAGGGGGGAGAGGGGATGGGAGAGGAGGAAGCATCAGCAGAGGAGCTAGGGCCGACTCGTGCGAACGTGCTGGGAGATCCTTATCAGGATATCAGGAAGAAATACAAGCTAGCTGAGAAGGAGCTAGGGCGGGGAAACTTTGGAGTGATTCACGTGGGGGAGAATTTGCAGACTGGGGAGCAGTTTGCATGCAAGAGCATCACCAAGGCTAAATTTGAGGTGAGCAGATGCTTAACTCTGAGGTTTGAGCTGTTTGCTTGCAGATCTATTATCTCCGGCGCCGATTTTCAGGTGAGGAGAATATGTTATTCCGAGGAGGCCTGACGAGCTGTCTGCCTGCAGGTTTATCACAGGCGCCAATCTCGAGGTGAGCATCGCTGCTCGCTCTCTTGCTCCATTTGTTATAGGCACGCTCATACAGAGCAGCCATCCTTGGCCAAAGTGTCCCACTATAGTCTGGCTGAACAAGGAACTAGGGAAGGGGATTTCTGGTAGGCTTCATGTGGCAGGAAATTCTGGGCGTTGATTCTTGCCCTCGTTCCGTTTGTTATAGGCACGCTCCTTGGCTATATAGTCTGGCTGAACAAGGAATTAGGGAACTTGAGAATGTGGCTCAGTTCGTTACAGGCACACTCCTCTGCTATAGTCTGGCAGAACGAGGAACTAGGGAAGGAGGTTTTGGAGAATACCCTCAATAATGTGGCAGGCAAGAGAACTTGAGAAATTGCGGAGCTGTTTGCACGAAAGCAGCATATCATCAATAGTAACCACTGCTTATCACCAATAGTAACCACTGCTTATCATGAAGGGTTTTCCAAAGTGCTGCCAAAAACACCTAAGATTCAACATTGTGTAAGAAGACAAGTGTTTTAAAGTCAGAAGAAATGGACAACATGGAGGAGGGAGGCCAACTAACATTCTAGAAGTGCCGTAACAGCTTACACTGCCCTTTACTCACTTTCCCCGTCCTCTACGTTCCCCCTCCTCTGCTCCATGTCCCCCTCCCCTTGTGTGCACCTTACCCCCTCCGCTCCGTGTTCCCCCCTCCCCTCCATGTTCCTCCTTCCTTACGTGCTACCCACTTTACTCTCCCAGTGTTGAGGCGATGTGGAGGACGTGGGGAGGGAGGTGAGCGTGCTGGAGACGCTCCGTCGCTTCGTGCAGCTTCACCCACACATACCCTTCCCTTCCCTCCCACTCTCTTCATCCCCTTCATCTCAACCCTCCTTTGCCAGTGCTGGGACGATGTGGAGGATGTGAGGAGGGAGGTGAGCGTGCTGGCGTCGCTTTGACAACTGTGGCCCCCGTACCCCCTCTACTCCCTCTGCCTCTGACTTCTCCCTGTGGCCCCTCTGTTCCCCCAGTGTTGGGACGATGTGGAGGACGTGAGGAGGGAGGTGAGCGTGCTCGAGACGCTTTGACAGCTCACACTGCCCTTCACTCCCTTCCGATCCCTGTGCCCCCTCTGCTCCCCCAGTGCTGGGACGATGTGGAGGATGTGAGGAGGGAGGTGAGCGTGCTGGAGACACTCAGAGGCCATCCGTTTGTGGTGTCGATTGTTGAGACAATGGAGGACGAACAGGTGAGTGTGGGCAGTAATAGTCAGCTCTGGGGCCATTTGTTGAGTCATTTTAGACCACTGTGAACTTAAACGGTTGAGAGGCTATCCGTTTGTGGTGTCAATTTTTGAGACGGTGGAGGATGAACAGGTGAGACATTAAACACACCCAAGGACACTCTAAGGCACTGAGAGACCTCAGACCGCCCCTTTGTGGTGTTGAATGTTGAGACAATGAAAGACAAACATGTGAGTGAGTGGTACTAGTTGCTGTTCGGGTATTTTCTTAAAGCCCACCTCTTTGCAGTGCTTAGTAAGATGCACATGTGAGACGTTGAGGGGCCACCCTTTTGTGGTGTCGAGTGTGGGCCCATTGTGAGTGACCGGTACAGCAAAGCTCATGCTCACTTACGCTTCCGATCCTTGAGGCGCCTCAATTTTTTTTAGGCGTCTCAAAAACCGCGTGAACTGAGACGATTTTTTAGGCGCCTCAAAAAGCATACCCATTGTGAGTGACCACTGACCGGTACCCATTTTTGCTCACTTACGCTTCCGATCCTACCCTGCCTCTCCCCTTCTCTCCCACTCCCCCCACCCTTGCCCCCCTCACAGGAGGTGCACATAGTGATGGAGCTGTGTGGGGGAGGCGAGCTGGTAATTGCATCGCCACACATGCTCTGCTGCCCTCAAATCCTTCCCTCGCCTTCCCCCCTTACCCCCCCTTCTCCCCTTCACCAGGAGGTGCACATAGTGATGGAGATGTGTGGGGGAGGCGAGCTCTTCGACCGCATTCTCGACCGCAAGTACTACGGGGAGAGGCAGGCAGGCGGGCAGGCAGGCAGGCAGGCAGGCAAGCAGGCAGAACAAGTGAACTCTCGCCGTCCCCTCCCCCACACACACACCAGGAGGTGCACATAGTGATGGAGCTGTGCAACGGGGGAGAGCTGTTTGATCGCATTCTCGACCGCAAGTACTACGGAGAGAGGCAGGCAGGCAGGCAGGCAAGCAGGCAGAACAAGTGAACTCTCGCCGTCCCCTCCCCCACACACACACCAGGAGGTGCACATAGTGATGGAGCTGTGCAGTGGGGGAGAGCTGTTCGATCGCATTCTCGACCGCAAGTACTACGGGGAGAGGCAGGCAGGCGGGCAGGCAGGCAGGCGGGCAGGCAGCATGTATAACCCCTCCAATAATCTTCCCTCTTTCATGCCCTGCTCATCACAGGAGGTGCACATAGTGATGGAGCTGTGCAGTGGGGGAGAGCTATTCGACCGCATTCTCGACCGCAAGTACTACGGGGAGAGGCAGGCGGCACGGGTCATTCGCTCCGTCATCGAGGTTCTCTCCTTCTGCCATGCGCGGGGGATCGTGCACCGGGACTTAAAGCCCGAGAATATACTGCTCGCTTCAAAGAGGAGTGATACGAGGGTTAAAGTGATCGACTTCGGCATGGCGTGCGTCTTGAAACAGGGTAAGTTTGGTAGTTCTTTTGAATAAAGTGGGTACTGTACGTATTCTCCTAGAGCACTGAGACATTTTGCCGGTGTTTAGGAGGAGAGACACGTGAGTCGAAGTGATTAATTTCGGCATGGTGTGCATCTTGAAACCGGGTACGTTCTGAGGCTCCTTTGATTATCATGGGTACTGTGTGTTTTCGCCTAGACCCCGAGCTGGTGTTGAGGAGGAGTAATACGCGGGGCAAAGTGGCTGATTTGGGCATGACGTTCTGCCACAGGGTACTTTTGGATGTTTCCTTTCAATAACAAGGGTACTGTGTGAATTACCCTAGAGCCTTCCCTCCCCTCCCTTTCTCGAGCAGTGCAAGCTAAGAGCAACCGAACCCCTTTCCTCCTTTCATCCTCTCTCCCATCCTCCCTGTCTGCCTGCCTCCTTTATTCCTCCCGGACGAGCGCTGCAGGCTGCGGGCGGGCACGCCCAACTATATCGCCCACCTTCCTTATATTCCACCATCACCCACCCACCCCACCCACCCCACCCACCCCACCCCCCCCACCCACCCCACCCACCCCACCCACCCCACCCACCCCATCCACCCCATCCACCCCACCCACCCCACCCACCCCATCCACCCCATCCACCCCACCCACCCCACCCACCCCATCCACCCCATCCACCCCACCCACCCCACCCACCCCACCCACCCCATCCACCCCACCCACCCCACCCACCCCACCCACCCCACCCACCCCATCCACCCCATCCACCCCACCCACCCCACCCACCCCACCCACCCCACCCACCCCATCCACCCCATCCACCCCACCCACCCCACCCACCCCATCCACCCCATCCACCCCACCCACCCCACCCACCCCACCCACCCCATCCACCCCATCCACCCCACCCACCCCACCCACCCCACCCACCCCACCCACCCCATCCACCCCATCCACCCCACCCACCCCACCCACCCCATCCACCCCATCATCCACTCCCAGGCGAGCGCTGCAGGCTGCGGGCGGGCACGCCCAAGTACATCGCCCCGAGGTGATCGCGAAGAATTACGGCGCAGAGGAGGACGTGTGGAGCGCGGGGGTGATCCTTCCCTTTCCCTTGCCCTACCCGTCCTCCCCCAGGCGAGCGCTGCAAGCTGAGAGCCGGAACGCCCAACTACATTGCTCCAGAGGTGATAGCCAAGAACTACGGCGCGGAGGCGGACGTGTGGAGCGCGGGGGTGATCCTGTATGTGCTGCTGTGCGGCCTGCCGCCCTTCTGGGGGGACACCACCGAGGACGTGTTCAAGAGCATCCTGTGGCAGGAGCTCGACTTTGAGACCGAGCCCTGGCCGGTCGTCAGCACCGCTGCCAAGGACCTGGTCAGGCGGATGCTGTGCCGGAAATACGAGCGAAGGATTACCGTTGCTGAGATTCTGAGTAAGTCCGGGAGAAATCTGGGGTTGAATCGGCCTGGGAAACCCATAACCGGACCAAACCACACAGAACCACGGAGGACGCGTTCAAGAGCATCCTGTTGCAGGAGCTCGACTTTGAGACCGAGCCCTGGCCGGTCGTCAGCACCGCTGCCAAGGACCTGGTCAGACGGATGCTGTGCCGGAAATACGAGCGAAGGATTACCGTTGCTGAGATTCTGAGTGAGTCAGTGTTGGGTGTGGTTCGGTTGGGTTGGGTGGGGTGGGGGGCTGTGGAGGGGTGGCTGTAATTTTGTACCGGAAATACAAGAGGCGGATCCCGGTGGGTGAGATTCTCAGTGAGTGAGACGCTGCTGGTATGAAGTAGTGTTTTGAGACGTCTCAGTGTTTTGAGAAGTCTCAAAACACTACTTCATACACGGAAATACAAGAGGCGGATCCCAGTGGCTGAGATTCTCAGTGGGTGAGACGCTGCTGGTGCAATTGGGGTGTTGGCGGTTGGCTCAGGGCTCTGCTGCCAAGGATCTTGTGCGCTGGATGCTGATGAGTCTACTTTTGTGCCGCATGCTGTGCCGCATGCTGTGCCGCATGCTGTGCCGCATGCTGTGCCGCATGCTGTGCCGCATGCTGTGCCGCATCCTGTGCCGCATGCTGTGCCGCATGCTGTGCCGCATGCTGTGCCGCATGCTGTGCCGCATGCTGTGCCGCATGCTGTGCCGCATGCTGTGCCGCATTCTGTGCCGCATGCTGTGCCGCATGCTGTGCCTGTGTCGCATCCTTTGCCGCATGCTGTGCCGCATTCTGTGCCACATGCTGTGCCGCATTCTGTGCCGCATGCTGTGCCGCATGCTGTGCCGCATGCTGTGCCGCATGCTGTGCCGCATGCTGTGCCGCATGCTGTGCCGCATTCTGTGCCACATGCTGTGCCGCATGCTGTGCCGCATTCTGTGCCACATGCTGTGCCGCATGCTGTGCCGCATGCTGTGCCGCATGCTGTGCCGCATCCTGTGCCGCATGCTGTGCCGCATGCTGTGCCGCATGCTGTGTCGCATCCTGTGCCGCATCCTGTGCCGCATTCTGTGCCACATGCTGTGCCTGTGCCGCATGCTGTGCCGCATGCTGTGCCGCATGCTGTGTCGCATCATGTGCCGCATGCTGTGTCGCATCCTGTGCCGCATGCTGTGCCTGTGCCGCATGCTGTGACACATGCTGTGCCGCATTCTGTGCCACATGCTGTGCCGCAAATACAGCTACTCGTCGCAGTCGATGAGATTCTCGGTTCCCTCCCCTTTCCTCCCTTTCTTTCGCTTCTTTACTTTTCGGTCTCTTGAGACTTGATCTCTTGGACTCAAGAGTCTCTCGTTTTGTCTTAGCATGGCTTCGATTCTCTCCTGTTCCATCCCTCTCTGTCATTCCCTCTCCCATTCCCTCTCCCATTCCCTCTCTCATTCCCTCTTCATTCCCTCTCCCATTCCCTCTCTCATTCCCTCTTCTGCTCCCAACAGAACACCCATGGATAAAAGCGCTAACGTAACGGGACTTGGTGATGTGAATGCGGAAGACAGGGAGTTAAGATGTTTTAAAACACATGAAGGAAGAAGACAGTAGTCAGGGTCCTTCCAGTGGTGGTTCAGAGCATTTAATCACTGACGTAATCACCTTCAACTGTGGTTTCAGCAAATGTGGTAGTGTGTGTGTGCTGCAAATCGGGAAAGATGAGAGGGTGTGGTGGTGTGGGAGAGGAGGAGCGAGAGCAGGAGGGATGGTAGGGAGGAAGGAGGGGAGGAGGGGAGGAGGGGAGGAAATCCGAGTACTGGCAGGTTTGCTGCTAGTGCTATCCAAGCACCTTTACTGGGTCTTCTGTTTCGGTCGTGGCATGGGTGGCAGAAGCAGGAACACAGCAGATGCTTTTTGAGTCGACTCAAAGTTAGGGGATGGCATGAATGGGGACAGCGGAACCAGTGCACATGCCTTTTGAGTCGACTCAAAACACGGGTGTGGAATCTGTGGGAGTAGCAGCACCACTGCAGGTGCGAGCAAGGCAGCTGCGTTAGAGTCGCTGCAATCAGCAGCAGCAGCACAAGTGCCAACTCCAGAAAATGCTGCAGCAATCAGCAGCAAGTATCAACACAAGACGCTGCGTTAGTGTCAGTGCTATCAGCAGCAGCAGCGCAAGTGCTAGCACAATCTGAAGCAGTGGTACTTAGCTCTTGCACAAGAGGCTGCAGCAGTAGCAGCACAAGCAGCGGCGGCCGCCGCAACATTCTCAACACAAGCATAAGCCAAGACTGCCAACCAAGACTTTCAAGCTTGAGGTTGATTTTGAGAATTCTCAAAATCAACCTCATTCTCAACACAAGCATAAGCCAAGACTGCCAACCAAGACTGCCAACCAGGACTTTCAAGCTCAGTAGCGCCCCTGTTTCTTGTCAGCCGCATCATCTGTTTCCGTGTCTTCCATTCTGTCGATTAAATCTGAATCCCAAGGTCCATCCTTACTGCTGTCTCATCTGCACCATCAAATCTGACATCTCGTCTGCACCATCCGATCTGCTGCTTTTTTTAGCGTCTTATCTGCACCATCCAGTCTACCATCGCATTGACACTATCCAATCTACCACATCATCTGCGCCTTCCTGCTGGTATTTTTGTGATGCTCCTTCTCTGACACCATGCAGCCCCCCAAACGCTTCTCTTTGCTGTGGACAGTACGAAAACCCACAGTTTTTCCATTAGATGTACCGTATGAGTATAGCATTCCATAGCTTTCAATTTTCCCACCTCACATTGTCCCCCATTTGGCCTTTTGTCACCCTTTATTTTACCTTGGAGGCTTCCAGCATTTCTTTTTCTGCACTTAAGGTATTGTTCCTTTTGTGATCCATGAACCATCCCTAAAATTTTTTAATTTTTTTTTAATAACGCAATTCGACCTTAGGATTGACATTATGCGCTGGTGCTTTCTCTGAAAAAATATGTTATCTTACCACAGCTTTACCGTCACCTTAGCTTATGCCTGTGGGGTAGCGATTTTGTAGCCTGTCCTTAAAGCCGCGGTGCAACTTCTTAGAAACAGTAGCAGGACAAAATTCGCATGTGATTAACTGGACTTCAATTGGTCGAAAACACTCGAGTTTCACAACAGGACAAACCTCTCGCCTGTGAGCTGCCTGGGTCACCCTCTTCCAAGCCACAAACCCTGTATAATACTTTGAAGTTGAAGCTGATAGTTGCACCGCGGCTTTAAATAAAGGGTACCGACCTTCCTGAGCAGCCTCAGGCCACCTCAAGCCTCCTCCTGTCCCTGCTGACACATTGATGGGGAAGGGGACTGTTACGCTGCAACCAGTTCTTGGTGACTGCGTCGGGCTGTGTCGCACGTCTGATATCCTTGTGCAAATGTTCTTGCTTATAGTCCCGCTGAACATCACACGCGGCGCAAAACTATGTAGCAAACACTCGAAACCCCTGGCAAAGGGGAACTGATCGTCCAACTGGGCGGGTATTCTCGTCCTCAATCGTGGTGTTTGGTACGGAGTCAGGCAATGTTGTTGTTTTTTTTTTTTTCTTCTTCCCATTGAATGCTATGTTTTCGGAGTCAGGCAATGTTTTCGTGCGACGGCAAGTTACTATCACATCGCATGGAATGAAACGCCCACCTCGTGCGACTACCAGTACTTTTTATCAACAAATTCCTCATTTCGTAACAGAAAGTGGGCATTCGCAGAAATATTTATTAAATCGTACTTATACAAACACACATGCAAGCAACCACGATATCAAATCGTACCGAAGCCCGAGTTGCAAATCGTACCACAGAAAAGGCACAGCACAACCAGAGCATGTACACATTCGCGCATTCCAAGCAACCACAGCATACACACTTTCTCACGCATACAAGGCACATCATAACAAATTCGCACGCATTCCAAGCAGCCATAGCATGAACACACACTACGCACACAGAGGCACATCACAACACATTCGCACGCACAGTCAGCCACATCACAAACACTTGCGCTCGCACGCAAATAGCCCACAAACACTTACGCCACACACACAACAGGGACATCGCAACACATTCGCACCCAAAGGAAAACATTCTTCCTTGCGATGATCACCTTCACCATGTAAGTACTGTACTCCGAACTGGATCCACCAGCAGGTGGATCAACGATCAACGATCTCTTTCGTTGATCCTTTTCCACACGCCACCGCCTACTCTGCTGGTCCGTCTAGGGTGGTTCGACGAACCACTCCTACAGCCAACCACTCCTACCCTAAACCATCCCTCCACGCTTTCTCCCACGGCCCATTTAACTGGGTGTGTCTGCTTCCTCGTCAGTCAGCGGGTCTCTAATTCCTTGTAGGACGAAAATAGAGCCCGAATAACACCTAACTCGGAGAGCACGGCGCAAGAAATGCATCAAGAGGCGGCAGCTACAATGCTCGAGCAAGCCGAAGCGGAGTTTGCGCTTCCGATTAGCGCCGCTAATACTTCACATGCCGTCCCCGCAGCCACTTCCCTTCCGCAGCCTGTTCCGCCTCTCCTCCAAGCCCCGCCTCTCCCCGTTCCGCCACCTCCTGTTATGGGCATTCCCGGTGCCGTCGCCGGGGCCTTCTCGTCGCGCTAAACCCGATGGAAGCAGAGTGGTACGCGTTTCTCACAGTGCTGCTACTATAACTAGTGGTGATAATATCAATTCTTGTGCGTGGGATTCGTTGTGAATCTTCTGTTTCCCTCACTCCGCTGCCTTGCCCGTAGGCTGACTGACGGGTTTACATGTAGTAGTAGCGCACTCATTGGTTCAGACAGCAAGGAGAAGACATCCCCAACGAGGCCTGCTAATTATGATCAGCGCGCCATGCCCCGCGTTGGTGCCACGACACTTTGGACGTATTGCACTGCACTCCTGCCCGGTTCCACCGTGTGCCGCAGGTGATATCACTGGTGGAGGGCGGGGCGCTGAAGGTGCACGTGCCGATAGATTTTCCTGATGAGTGCGAAATCTGCTGTTGCGTTCTCCTTATGGTGAGCGAATTACCCGATTTCCTCAACCCACTTCTTGAAGAAGCGCTGCTCTCCCTGTGTACTAAAATGATCTTCTCGTCAGTTACTCTCCTATCGTGCAAGGCCCTCTCCTCCCCTGAAGCCCCTCTCCTCCCATTCCCTTTCACCAGAAGCTCCCCCCTTCCAAATTGCTCCTACCTGCTTGTACCTCTGCTCTCCCGCCCATTCACCCCCTGCGTTTCTCCTCTCTCCCGCGCATCACCCTTGTTCCCCGCCCTCCCTCTCAATTCTCCCCACCCTTCCTTACAGACTGTGCTGCCCTGCACGATTTGCTTGCTCGTGTCGTGAGTACCTAACTCCACTTTAAACTGCTTTTGGGAATGCGGGAGCTGTAGCATGCCACATTGCCACATGATACTGCATGGATGGTCACTTACCATGCAAGCCCTTCATTTCGCTACACAATCAATTGCCAAATTGCCCAACCGTCAGCTCCCAACTTTTCACACCATACGCATTCCCTCCTCTCTCTGCCTCCCACCTTCCATACTATGCTGCTCTCGGCCCTGCCCCACCCATCTCAGAATCCTCAAATATTGGATTGAAGCCAATACTAGCCTTGAGACCATTCTGCTGTCACATGATATTTTTTCCATCACCACCACTCTTAAGGGCAAGGCCATGGAGCAGCGCAGTAGCACGTCCAGGTTGCAAGCCATCACGGTCCGCGATTTGAATTCGCCACAGCCACCGCCACCACTGCCACCATCGCCAGTGCATGGCGTTGCTGCTCACGCTGCCACTCGAGGCCCTGCTGCTGCCGCTGCAAGGGTGCCAGCAGGGTATCGGGCAGCGCATACGTCGCCAAATCTGGTGTGTGTGTTTGTAGAGGAGCAGCAGAATTACAGATTCGGTGAAACTCTGACTGAGAGTGAGAAGCACTGGGTGGTGGGCGAGCTATCTCACCACCTGCACTGCATGCGCTTGTATGCGGTCAATCATGCCGTGTAGATCATAGCTAAGGAGTACCCCATACATGTGTTAGAGTAAGAGGGAATTACCTTTACATTCCTGAAGGTGCAGTAACATTGCACCTGCTGCTATCGAAGCAGTGCTTGTACCACTAGCGCGTTAGCCCATGTAGAGACACGCAGGTCAACAGTCGCAAGTCAACCGTCGCGGTTACTGTAGCAATGCTTGTAATACAGTTCTAATAAGGGAATGTACCCCTTAGAGTACATGGCTAGCTAGATCTATATTTTTTTTTCTTTTAACCAATCTTGTCACTATTCATTTTCATTCATTATGCAACAAGATTCCTCCCACTAAAGACTTTCTCTAAAGAAGAGGTAAGAGCGTGTTTGATGGTAGTGAAGGCTTCTTCCTGTTCAGGTCCCCAATGGAATTGCTGCTGCTTGCGAAGGAGATCAGAGAGGGGTGAAGTGATGGCAGCAAAATGGTTGATGAATTTTCTGTAGTAGTTGGCAAGGCCAAGAAATGCTTGAAGTT